ACAAAATTATAGTTATGAAGAACAAACAAGGGGATGCCAGGCATTAGGGTTAGATAAGGGCATAACTATTAAGGAGGAGCAAGAAGAAGTTTCTTTGAAGAGACATAAAATTCCGTATCCTGATTGTGGTGATGATAACATGAATCTACATATATGATAACATTTCATAGGCAGAAAGAAGAATTATGTAAAAACTGTCAAATCTGAGTAAGTCTGTACCTGAGTTAACAGCACTGTGGCAATATCAATTTCCTGGTTTGAAAAAGTACCTTGGTTATATAAGATATCATAATAGAGAGAAGCTATAATAGGGAGAATCTCTGTAATATTTTTGCACCTTCTTGTGAGACTTCAAGTATTTCAAGGTGAACTGTTATTTAAAAAAAATACAAGCAGGCAAATAAAAGTGTCTGACCAAGAGGCCTTACATTAGTATAGAATCTAGAAGAGGAATCAAAAATGGCTTTGTTATATACAAAGGAACCAAATATAAAGTTTGTAGAAGGAGGAAGCATAAAAATTTCAGGGAATTTAAGTGTGGCTGAATTCAGAGAGGGAGAGAGTGAAGGGAAATAGTTTACAGCTAAGGAAATATGAATCCTCCTCTCTTGGTCCTGATACTACACAGAACCTCAAAGATCATATTAAGAACCAACAAATCGAAAACAACAGAAGAGTTTTAACGGCGGAAGAGGGAGAAACAAATGGCATTATTAATGGTGTTTAGTCACATTCTGACGGTAGTAAAGAATGGATTGGAGGAGGTAAGGATGCAGGAAATTTGGCTATCAGCTACTGTAGCAGCTCACGGTTGAACGATGCTAACTTGCACTAGGTTGGTGGCAATGGAAATGGAGATAAATGGACAGATTTGGGAAGTAAAATATAACATAGAATAAATGGGGCATGGCCATGGTTTAAAAGACTGAGAATATACAGTAGATTGATGACACAGAACTAAATTATTTCAAAGGAATAGTGGAGGGAAATGCCAGGCTGGAGCAATTTAAAGGAAGAAATAGGAAGACTAGATAAAAGTGTATACTAAAGAAATAAGGTGGTTAAAGGAAAAAAAAAAGGTTAGAAGAGGGAGGAGGGTAATGAAAATGATGAAGGGTATTTTTTAAAGTGGTCATGATTTGAGTATATTCTAGTATTAGTAGGAAGAATATGGTTCAAACGAAAGAGAAGAGATATTAGAAAAATAGCCTGAGCCCGCGGGTTCGAGACCCGCCTGGGCAACTTGGCGAGAACTCATCTCTACAATAAATCCAAAAATCAGTTGGGCGTGGTAGCGTGCACCTGTAGTTCCAGCTACTTGGAAGGCTGAGACGGAAGGATTGCCGGAGCCCAGCAAGTCAAGGCTGCGGTGGCCGGGAGCGGCCACTGCACTCCAGTCTGGGCGACAGAGTGAGACTCCAACTCAAAAAAAAAAAAGAAAAAAAAATAGCATAAGAACAAATGTGAAGAAAAGGGAAAGCAGGATTTCTGTGGTAGACGGGTGTAATGGCAAATTCATGAAACTGAAGTATGGCTAAAAAGAAAAGGGGAGGACAAGGATAGGAGATAGCTCAGAAAAGGATAAACTGGTTTTCTCCACTGTAAAAGAAGGAACTGAAGTTGGGTACAAAAACACTAATGTCTGATATTGCATGTGTTTTTATCTGGTGATTGCTCTTTTCTCTGTGAAACAGTAAACAGAGGTGAACTGGTTTGCTAGGGCCGTCATAACAAGTGCCACAGACTTGGTATCTTTAACAGTAGAAATTTATTTCTTCACCATTGGAGAGGCTATAGTCTGAGATCAAGTTGTCACCCTAGCTGGTTTCTTCTAAGAACCCTCTCCTTAGCTTATAGATGGCCATCATCTCTCTGTCTTTACTTCCTTTATGTGGCTGTGTCCTTACATCCTCTTCTAAGAACACCAGTTAGATTAGGACTCACCTTAATGACCTCATTTTAACATAACTGCCTCTTTAAAGATCACATCTGATGACATTCTTAAGTACTGAGGGTTAGGACTTCAACATATAAATTTGAGGGGAACATAATTAATCCATAACAAGAGGTTACCTGCCAAGAGAGTGAGGGAGATTGGGAACATCAAAGGTTCAAAGTGAAATAAGTTTGAAATAGTTATAAATATTGTGAAAGTTCTCGTATTGATTATAAATGAAATAACACTTTAAATAGGTAGTTTAAATTCAACTTAAATTAAAACAAAATTTTCACTTTATTTAATTAAAAAGTTGTTTTACAAATCAGAAAATCTGAACTCTAATCCCCTACTCTGCTAACAAGCCATGACCCTCACATTTGTCTGGGTCACTCTAAAATGGGAACAATGAATTATAGGATAGGTATATCCATCAGAGGATACTAGGCTTGGGAACCCGTGACATCCTGGTACTATTCCTTGCCTCTGTCACAGAAAAGGTTACTTTACCAAAAGATTCCTCATCTTAAAATGAAGTACAACTAAATCATCTCCAAAGTCCCTTCTAAAATCTTATCATTTTACAAAATAAAATAATATGAAATTACTTTGAGAGTAAGTAAGCTATGGTATAAGGAAAAAAACATTCTTCAAAATACTTGTCAATAAAAGCTGAATTCTATGCTTGTAGTATATGCAAACATTTGTCTTCCCTTTCTATTTTTTTTATACATCCTTTTCTGCCCCTAAATCAGTATTCTTATGGTTAAAGCTACATAAAAATGCCTTTTTTCCCCCAACTCTGTTGGTTTAGAATGTTAGGTGCTGAGCTGTAATAAGATATTACTTCCTTTATTACATGTAATGATCTGCTTACTTTAAATGATTAGATTCTGAAGTAGCATTCCTGACATGTTTAAAATAAGAGTTTTACATGTTGAAAAAAAAAAGTTGAGGAACTGGGTGCAATGACTCACGCTTGTAATACCAGCTACTCAGGAGGCTGCGGAGGATCACTTGAGTCCAGGAGTTCGAAACTAGCCTGGGCAACACAGTGAGATGGTATCTCTCTAAAAATTTTAAAACATAAAATAACTGGGTGTGGTAGCATGTGCCTGTAGTCCTAGCTATTCGGGAGACTAAGGTGGGAGGATCACTTGTACCCAGAAGTTTGAGGTTACTGTGAGCGATAATCATGCCACTGTACTCCTGGGCAAAAGAGCAAAACCCCAAGTCTTAAAAAGAAAAAAAAGAAAAAAACCACTGAATGGTGGATATATTAGTCAGAAACCTACATGGCTAAAATAACAGGAAATCAAATATAGTGTCTTTAATAATCAGAAATTAATTTTTCTTATGCAATAAATGCAGAGGTTGGGAATTGCTCATGTTTGTTCAGAGTTCAACAATGTCATCAGGGACTGAGGATCCCCCTAAACCTTCTTAAGCTCCATCACTGAAATGTGGTTTTCATTCTCACCTTTGCTGTTTGACAGTTGTAAGATGGCTATTACTAGTCATCTTAATCTTGAGAAAGAGGAGAAAGAGGCAGAAAGTGTCACTTCACAAAGCTTTGACTTTTTAATTTGAAAGGAAAGCCCTTTAGAGCTGGCTTCATTTCGTTGGCCTAACTATGTCACGTACCACACCTTAGATCTATGTTGCCCAATATGGTAGCCATGAATCACATATGGCTATTTAAATTTTTTAAAAATTAAAAATTCAATTTCTCAGTCATATAGCCACATTTCAAGTGTTCAACAGCCACATGCAGCTAGTAGCTATCACAATGCACAGCACAGTTTATTTCTTTCACTGCAAAAAGTTCTACCTTGTACTAATCAGACCATAATGAAGGAAACCATCATTTTCATTTCAAATCAATCAAGATGCAGCCTCAGGGACTGGAGTAAAGTCTTAATCTCTTTGAGGAAAGGGATTCCCTTGCTACAATCTTATCAAAATAGGGTACTGTTAACAAAGAAGTAAGGTAATAGTAGGGTGGGTAACGGGTAACTGCCTGCCATAATGGGATTACAGTACATCTAAGTTGAAGTTTGTAATTATACACTGACAATGTGCTTAATATGCAAAAAAATTCCTGACAAGTAATTAAAAATTAGAAAAAATAAAGTGAAACTAAGACACACAGCTATAAGAAGCACTAAGTTACTTATTGCACAACTGTAACTGCTGAAATAAACTTAATGTAGTCACTAATAGGGAAGAGGTTAGAAGAGAAAAATGTAGCAGGACAATGTACAGGCACTATTTTCCTTACAGAAAATATAAATTTGAAAGGGCTGATCACGATGAAAATGCAGTTACTAATTTCTTGTGCAGAAAGAGTATATCTTTGTGGTAACAAAGATTAGTGGAAAAAATTACTTTCATATGAGAAGGATTATTTCACAGAAGATATTAATCAGCTGCTTAATACTCATGGCCAAATAAAACAGAAAAGACTGTAATGTTAAAAATTAGATATGAGAATAGTTTAGTAGCAATACGAATTATTCAAAAGACTAAAAGATGATATTGACAACAGTTTTCTTTTCAAAATCTTCCAGGTTGTCCGTTTCTCCCACATTCCTCACTTGCCCAAAGTCACAATGACAAGTATGCAGAAGTCTCTGTATATTGTTAGTAAAAATAAATAAATTTAAATATATTTATTACAAACTAATATTAAGTATTTGCCCTGAATGAACAATTGCTTTAGAAATCCTGATTTGTGTCTAAAAAAAGTTTAACTTTCAAAGTCCTTTCTAGTCTATTGAAACATGCAAAATACTGGTGAAGGTAACATATGATTATTATAAAAAGAAAAAAATTAAAAATTCTAATTATAAAGAGGAGACAGACTATGAAAACCATAATAATACTGTTTCTAACTTAGATTTTCTCATTTTTCCAAATCTAAAAATAACTCAGTTACTGTACCCCTTTAATCCTTACTCTCTGTGGTCCTTAAATATCATTTTATACAATTTACAATTTTAAAAGATTGAATAAATGTAACCTGCATAAAGGTGAAATTTAAGTATCATAATACATATTAACTTTAAGGCATTTTATAGGTTTAAATTTTAATTATGTCCCATGTCAAAACAAAATTGTATAAAAAGATTTTACTGAACTTTGGAGAATGACATATTTTAAGCAAGTCATCAGAATAACATCATATCAGATAAAACAATTCAAACAGCCTACTGAAATGCAAAGCAAAATCTAATTTGACAGTATAAACAAAGTCATAATAATTTGCTTCTGTCAGCTACATCTGCTGTGTATTTCCCATCACCAATGAGGAGTTAACTAGAAATTGAGTTACTAAACAATATATTAGCGGTGTTATAACAAAATGAAGCTAGAATCTTCATATGCAAGTTTAATAAATCATCATGGTTTATTTAACAAGGTTATTCTACATCAGTTTTATATGTATATATGTATGTGATATGAAGAGACTGATGTACAATCAATAAGTCTTAAATCTCTCCTCCATGAGGTTCCATCTTTCTGCTTAGCAGTAAAAGGCATTTTTAGGTTTTTATAAACACATTCTTTACAACTGCCTTCTTAACAGAAAATTACTGTAGTATATAAATAGCACTGGGCATTTAGTAAACAAGTCACAGGCCAGTAAGTTCAATTGTGCAGTTGTGAAATCTAAAGTCAAAGAGTTTTTGAAACCTTAAGACTGGGTGATCTGCAATGTTTCCAACATGTCTTCAACTGCCTTAAGAGAGTATTTGGTTTCCTTCTTACTTCGACCTGCAAACTAATTAAAACAATAAAAAAAAGTTCAATTAGGCTCAGTTCAATGGCTTACTCAAAAATCATAATCCTACCTTCACATTGCTAATGAAACTTAACATTAACTATTTTGTCACTAGCATGAAATCGAATAAATTCTTTTTTTATAAGAAAAAATTGGGGTATTAAGGAAAATTTCTGTTTAAGGTTTTTTTCCACCTTCAGTTGAAGTGTACAAGGATTTCACTGTACACTTGGCAAGTTTAAGTTTTTAAGTAGTATGATACCTATATGACCAAATATTTAATTTTAAAACTATCTTATTCACACTCAAAAACATTTATGAAGTAAAAAAGTATAATTTTAAAATAAAATTTGGCTTATATCTATGCAGGAACATGAACCATTTCTACTTGTTTAGCCTCTAAACAGAACTTTACAATTTCAAAGATACAATATAAATGAAAGTACTTTTTATTAAACATGTTTATGTTGCAAGTAATCTCTAAAATTATTCAGCAGATAATTTTTTTAAGTTTTCAGATTTAGTAGTTAGTTAAACATCATGTTTCTGCAAAGAATTGTGAAGTAAAACCCTATGCTACATATTATATTGATATGAACATGTCTTATATGCATTCCTGTTTATTAAGTTATATTTTATAAAGCTAAACTAGGATTGGGTTTTACAATGAAAATCAAATATAATGTACCATGCATATAAACGAAATAGAAATTATATTTGTGTATTTAGAAGCAACTAATGGCATATCAAATCCAATGAGTACATTTAATCAGTGGGGGAAACACTGTTGAATACCACATGCCGATTTCAAAATGAATTTTCTAACTGAACTGACAATTTCTGTCATTTATCTGTCTGATTTAACACAATAGATTTATTACATAAATAAGTGTTTCTTGGTATAGTTGAGGGAAAGTTTATTATACCTATATTACCTTTTTTGATTAAAATGTACTAGCAACATCTAGTGTTTTCAAGTTAACATCTAACCATTCAATACATTTTCAAGTGACTGATCATTTCTTCAACCAGCAATGCTGTCTTAAGTACTTAGTACTTGATTTATGATGTGTTTCTTCTCTTTTGCAATTAACTTAATTTGGCAAACTTCTCATGACCTGTTCAGAAAGATTAAGTGATCAAGCACAGGTAACATCATAGAAGTAATAGGTTTCAGGAATTGGTAACCTGCCTCTGACCCCTCTGACTTAACACTACGATTACCCCACTTCCTAAAGCACTAGCTTCTGTGGCTGAATCTTGACTTGAAAGAGTAAATGAAGGGAATTTCTAGGGGAAATGCCAGAAAAACAGAGGTTCTTATACAAATCAAGATCACCTTTCATAATGTATCGCTAATTTAAGGAGTTCAAATGTTAAAAATACAAGTCATAATTACAAAATATGATAACAGCAACACTACATTTAAAACTCTGTCTTTTCATAATTTTCCATGGAGAATAAAGGATGTGGGCCCTGCACATTACTTCTATTTTCCAGTTGATAAATTCATGTTCACAAGGATTTACCAAGAACAGACAGCCTTCTTTCTTTTACTACTGCCTACCCAATGTAAATAGGAATGGTCCTAATCAGATACTTTTTTAAAGGTCTAATTCTGAGAAAAAGTTTTGATGGGGTGAGGGAGGGATATAAAATAAGATACCACATAGCAACATTTATTCTAATGTTTTTAAATAACAAAGTAAAAATGAAAAGAAATTTGTAAAGTTAAAGTTATAATATTTTAAAATACAGCACTTGTCTTGATATCTATTTAAACATAATAAAAATAAGAAGCATTTTTTAAAATTAGCTAATTAAAAAAACCCCTAAGTTGGTGTCAATGCTACTCACAACTAGCACAATTTAGAATAACCAAACTAATTTACTTATACCAGAAAAAAAAAGTTGGAAATATAAATCTATCACTTCAAATTTTACCTGACATGCATTTATTCTATTTATTTTTTCCAGAATTATATGGCAATTTAACTGATTAAGTTGGAATTATTTTTTCCCTAAAATCATGATTTAATTATCTATTTCCCAAAAGGATAGTGCCAGAATCACTGCTACAATCATAAATAACACATGGATCACTAGCATAGACAGATTTAACAATGTACCAAAGAAGCATTTATCTGGAAAATCATGGTGAGGGGTTCACATTAAAGTTTTTCATGAGCATTAATCAAATGTGCCTGCCTCTACTGAACATGCTAAACCAATTACCTAATTGAAGACCAAGTAGTAGCCACATTCTGTTTCATCATTAAAACAAAGAAAGAGAAGCAGTTCCTAAAACCGAATTTTCTCTAATTAATAAATATCTAGAAAAATCACATAAAGAATATTTATTACATACTTTATACTGGCATATATTCTTAGATGAGTAATAAAGTTGTCAACGAGATCCCCAAAATGTATCTAGTTACCAAAAATGTCAATCTCTAATTTCCACATTATTCACAAATTCTGTATTTTTGTTTTTATACAACTAGATTTTGCTTAAGTAAACTCTTCTTTTGTAGTTCTCTATAATATAGAAGAAATGCACCAGAAAAAAAGCACAAAACCCACCAAACAGTAAACACTTATCAAACTCAGAGGTCAGTGATCCGTCCATAATTGGGATACACTGGGCTAAGAAGATGTATCTTTACATAATTTGTGCAAAACAATATGGGTCAACAAAGTAGTAGGATAAATGAAATAGAATGGTAGATGAATGAATCTCAGAAAAATTATGCTAAGTGAAAAAAGTCAGACACACAAGAGCACGTAACCTATTATCTTATTTACATAAAGTTCTAGTTCAGGCAAAACTAATGTTTGGTATAAAAGTCAAATCAATACTTGCTGGTCTCCGAGTGGGGGGTGGAGCTGACTGCAAAGTGGCAGATGGGAACTTTCTGGGGTGATGAAAATGTTGTATATCTTGAGTAGGTGGGACGGTTGGTGTTGGTGAGAGGGGCGCATACATTTTCAAAACTCAAATCATATACTTAAAAAGTATGCACTTCACTGCACATAAATTATGTTTCAATAAAATAGATAAAAATAAAATAAAACAAAAGGATGAGATTTATGGCTCTCTGTCAATTGGACTGGTTGGGCCATATCTCTCATTTGGCAGTCTAACTTGGACTCATTCAATTAGAGATCTCAGAGTTCTGAGAGTAGCAAATAGGCAAACTTCAATATGCAACATATTGCTAATATCCCAAGGGCCAAAGTAAATCATATGATCAACTCACATTCAAGGGGTGCAAGATTTCACTTTTTAATGGGAAGAGAAACATTTGTGGTTATTTGACAATTTATTATACTATTGTATAACTTCATAAATCACATTTAACATAATGATGCCTAAATGTGAGCACATTTTAACTTCAGAACTTCTATTTGTCAAAATCATGTGAGAGCGAAAGCAAGTAAGTAGTGAGAGATATTTGCTACACATATAATCTAAGAAGGACTCATATCCAGAAAGGTAAAGAAATAAAATTTATACAAACCAATGAGGAAAAGAGATTTCATGAAAAAGGATATCCAAATGACTAACAAATAGCCAATAAACATATGAAAGCATTCAATCTCACTGATCATCAGGGATATGCAAAATAAAATCATGCAATACTACTACACAACTACCAGAATGGCTACAGAGACTGACAGAATCAAGTACTGGTAAAGATGTGGAACTATTAGAACTCTTAAATACTGCCAGTGGAAGGAAGAAACTCATTTGGAAAACTGCCTTTATCTATTACATATATAAACTTTCTATGACCTAATATTTTCTCTCAAAGGTATATAACCATCAGAGATGCATATATATGTACACCAAAATACCTGTACAGTCATATTCAGTGTAGCATATTCATAACAGCCCAAAACAGGAAAAACAATCCAAATGCTCATCAACTGACTAGATAAACTGAAATATGGTCGACAACAGACTACAGTACAATAATAGTGAACTACAGACATACACAAGGATAAATCTTATAACCTAATAGTGCCAGACAAAAATGAGCACATATCGTATGATTCCATAAACTATAGGGTTATAAATCAGGACTCTTAAGGATAGGAGTAGAAGTTATGAAGAAGTACAAAGAGGGCTTTGGGGTGCTATGATTATATTTATCAGATTGGATACATTTACCTTGTATCCTAGAAACAAGCTTGAGAAAATTGAGAAACAAATGGAGAAGTTTCAGGATGTGTACAAACTTTGCTCTATAATCTGATTAGCTACATTTTGAGGCATTTCTTCCTTCTTTTCTATATCTCAAGATATCTATGAGTAATAATACACTCACATGCGCAATCTGCTTCTGAAATGTATCATGTAATTTATCTAGAACCAAGAATGTTTAGAATTACATTTTTAAAAATGACTTCACATTTGCCAACTGCGGAACCACTAAGATTTCCAGATGGTAAGGCTAATTATAAAATAAAAATACTGATTCCTTTTGAGGGGAAAAACAGGTGGTCCTAAAACTACAAATTAATTCTACACAATTAAAAAGGACGAAATGCAAAAAAGTTCAATGCTCAATATCTGACTTTGAAGTGTGTAGAAACAAAAACAAATAAATACATTAACTAAGCAACATATCAAAATGATCAATACTAACCTGATAAGCTCTGTTTATTTGACTAGCTGCCCAACTAGCATACTTCATGTTGTCCTTTTTTGTTTTCGCACTTGCTTTTGGGTTAGAAGCAATATGACTTGCCGACTAAAAACAAAAAAGAAATATCAAAAACAAAATTCCTTTTCTAGTCAAGACCATCAAAAACACATAAGGGTCATCGTTACAGAAGGATGACAACCAAGAGTTTTAAAAAACTGTACCAAAACAATTTTTAAAATAAAAATAAAGTTGAGTGAAATTAGTGTTTAAAAATGAAAATGAAAATGTTTAAAAATATAATCCAAATTAATGAAAAGATAAATAATATTTCAAATAATAACTAAAATTATTTAATTATGTATCTTACCACAATTCTTAAAGGTAAAGTTCTAAAGCGCTTAAATAAAGAAGCTATAGAAGTGTATTTTATAAGCCAAAAAAATTTAAGTCCAATAGGAGTGATTTAATTTGACCAAAGCAAGTTAATGGAAGTCTTTGAAATAAAAGAGATCCTCATCTTTAACCAATTTCTCCTTTGACTATACCAAGAGTTTTCAAACTGTGTTTCATAGAACCAATTTAGTCACTGCAATTTGATCCACTCTCACCTTTTTAAAAATGTATTTAAATGAGGAATTCTTAATCTAGGATCCATATAAGAATCTGCAAACCCCCAAAATCTTATGCTAATTTTTAAACGTATGCTATTTCTGGGGAAAGATGTAACTTTCACCTTATTCTTAAATATAGCTTACTTTTAAAAAGATCTGTCCATGTGAGTTAAACAAAAAAAAGGCCAAGCCGTTCTTTTATAGCTAGCCAGTGCTATAGCCTCTTTCACTCAAATCTCCTCTTCTGCTAGTTTGAAATCTAAATGTCAAAAACAACTCTACATCTATAATGTTCCTTTTTTTGGTATGAATTTCAGTAAATGCAGTACTTAAGAGAAAAACTCTGGAGTCAACTGCCTGAGCTGGACCCAGCTAAACCACTTAGGAGCTCTGTGCACATCTTTGGATAAATTCGTTAAATCCCTTTGTGCTTCAGTTTCACCATCTATGAAATCACAGTATTTAAGAGTACTTACTCAAGTAGTTGATGAGAGGATTTAATGATTTATAACAAAAAACAGAGCTCAGAACAATGCCTGGTACATAAAGTGCTTGTATAAACTACTGTAAAAATGTATACAGTATGTAGTTTTTAAATTAATATATAATTTGATAAAGAAACACTGCTAAAATACTGAACCTCCAAGTCACTGCAATTGGTTCTGGTAGAATTTTCTTGAAATTCTTTTGAACGCTTTTGTAACCACATTTTGTCATTCCTTTTTAAAAATTATTTCATTTATGTTTTTTCCTAACTCTATTTGCTCAGCCAATTCTTTTTACTAAGCCCTGACAAGAAGATACTCATCAAAAAGTCCATACAAAGACTAGGAAAGATCAAAATTTTAAAGAACAAACTGACTTATTAAAATTTATTTTCCCAGTCTTTCCAACTGCAGAGAGGTGCTTAGCTTATATATATCTGAAAGGTCAGCAAATTCTTCCTCTGTTATAGCTTTTATTAATTGACTTTTCTAAGCCCTACATAAATAACTGCATACATAAATAACTGCATACTTTCCATAAGCAATTTCCAAACTGTTGTTCTACATCATAAAAACCTTTTAATTTTACATATTAGAGATTTTATTTCTAATGTCTTTTATTGGTATAATTTTAAAACATCTCATACAAGTATAATTTAGAGAAGAAAGAGAATAATGATGGGTTTAAACCCAGGAATATCAAAACAATTAAGAAATATATAATATGGTTTTTAATGTTATTATTTAATAGGAGCAGATTTCAATTCTGATATATTTTCCAATAAAATGTCAAACAGCTAGGGTGTAATAACATTAAAAAATAAAACTGCCTTATAACTTACTGCTCAAAATTAACTAGAGAAAAAAAAATCATATGCTCATCAATAAAATATACACACGTTAAAAAAAACAAGAGGGGAGTGTCAATAAAACATACACACACACACACACACACACACACAATGAGGGGAGTGATTGGAAGGGATAGTTAAATGGCTTTTAAGTGACAGATTTTGTAAAATAACATTAGACATGCACCTCAACTCACCATGTAAAGCCCAAACAAAGCTCTCATGTTTCTGTTGTTCAGTTTCAATGCCTGTGCAAAATACTTTCTTGAAAGTTCGAGGTTTTCAAGTCCGCCCTGGGTATATTTAACCTGTTAAAATTGCAGAGTGCTGAAAACTGTTTATTTTGCTACTTTGAAATATAACATGGTTTCATCATACCATAGGCATTAAGTAATAGAGACAGATATTCTGTAAACAAATACAAGATGTTAAAAGAATTCACCTTAAGGTAGTTCAAGCTAATCTGAAATTTAAAACATAACCTCCCCAAAAGCGATTCTATTCTATGAGCATTAACTAGTTCTTAAAATAAAAACGCTGTTACAGTAAAAAAGCCAGTATAATTTCTATTTTTGTTGCCTTGAAAATGCTTAACTTTATAATATTTTCTATTGCTAGCCTTTATAAATGTAGAATTAGATACTCAATTGTTGCTTTATAGCTGTACTGACATTCCTTAATAATAAAGTCCTTCTAACCTGATAACGTTCACTTGTACTACCATTCTTAATAGTAAGCAAATTAAATACTTTTTACGTCCCAAAATACTGCCCATAAAATTATTTAAAATATGGTTTTAAAAATCATAATCACTTTAAATGACTCAGAACCCATTAAGTGGTGAAAACTATGACATAATTAATTCATAGCTAGGAAAGAAAATAGTACACAAATATCAAAATTAAAGGAATTTCACTTTTCAATAGAGTTTTATTGAAAAGTCAGTATTTCTATTTCAATGTTAAAAATTTTAAACTTTTATTAACATAATTCAATACTCATCAGATGCTTTAAATATTTATATACTTGCCTAATATGATGAAAAAATTCTTAGTTTCATAATAATATCCTACAGCAAGAAAAATAAAAACACATTTGCTGTTTCTGAAAGTACTTACCTCAGCATACTGCTGACAGTATAAGTGATTGTGTGGATTAGTCATCATAAGCTCCTCTAAACAAAAGGCTGCTTTTGCATAGCTAAAAAATATAAAGAGGTAAAATTAATTTTAAAAGTCACAAATTTTATCTTAGTTATGCCTTAAAATAATTTTAAAATGTAGTGATATTAGACATTTTATTTTCAAAACAATTTCATAGCTTTATTAATAAAGTACTTGTAATCCTGAATTCATATATATCAATGGCTAATCTTTTTAATGAAATGAATAACCACAGGCTTAAATCCTAAAGCAGCCTAATAAATAATCATTAAATATGGCATTTTAAAAGTTGGGTCACTACTATAACATTCAATCATTACCAATATCACAGGCTTCAAGACTTTGGAACAGGTTACATATAAAAGAATTTCTGGAGGTACACGTATAGCTAAAGTATAATGAAGAAATAAATATTTTATTAAGTATTCTCTAGTCACTAAAAATCCTTCACAGGCATATATTTACCAACATATTCTATTACAGAAACATTTCATTACTTGGGTTTACTGCCAAATGTCAAATTACACAAATTATACTAAAGATATAAATTTCTAAGCCCATGAAAAATAGTTCAAGTTAATTTTGATATGTGCTCTACTACTATTAAATCACATGGTAGAAAAACCAAAAGTCTTGCTGAAAAATTAAGGAGAGAATTGCCAGAAAGAACTCTGGAAAAACAGCTTAAAACCATGTGATTTGATCACTTAATATATTTTATGTTTAATGCCATGCTAATATCCTCACTATATATATGGAATTCTAAAGAATTCAGGTGTTACAAGATTTATTCTAAGTGAGAAGATGATGCTACCACCCAACAGAAAAGGTCTACCTAAAGTTATTTTTGGCATTCATCACTAATATACAAAAGTTTATTAATCTAACATACAAAGTCTATCACTAATGCCTGATATACTTACTTTAAAAAATATACATATTCCAGTTTCACACATGTATACTAATAACTAACCTTTATAAGTGCTTATTACGTGTCATGCACTGTTCTAAGTGTATTACATGTATTAATTTATGTAATCCTACCAAAACCCTAGGAAGAAAGAAAGTATCACCATGCAATAGCCGAGAATACGAAGGCAAAGAGATGTAAACAGAACCCAGGTTGTGCCACTCCACAGCCTGCACTTTTAACCACTCTGCATGCTGCCTATATGCAATACATACCACAGTGAAAAACTGTGGTGGTGGTTGAAGATGGTAATGAAGATGTCAATCATAACATTAAAAATGTGCACAGTAGTCAAACACAAAAAGCGTAAGAAAAAAGATACATCTTCTAGACTACCCAAGAATTACAGCATTTTAGATTTATGAAGGATCTTATACAGATTCTCATCCAAGAATATGCAGTTATTTAGCCCCTTTCAATTTTATATATAAAACCTAGCATTGGTTCTTGACATAAAAGAAGACCCAACAATGAATGAAAAAAATGACTGAATAAATGTCTACAACAAAAGTATCATGACTATCTAGCTAATATTTATCAATCACTCTAAAAGGAGAAAGTTATCTCTACCTTCTGCATCCAACGTATCAAAAGACAGTTCTCTTCTGTTTTCCTTTAAGCAGTATGACGCCAAAAATTCATATTAAGGCTAACAGTAAAGTTCTTAGAGATTTAAGTTAGTAGAACACAACTGTGACTCTGGTTCTTATATAGCATAAAGTAAGATAAAATGAGCATATAGGACTTTTTATTGCAAAGTGCATACCAAGATATTTTTCTCAAAAATCAACTAGCATCACATATAAGAAAAAGATCCTGTCCTCCAATTTTACAAAATACAAAATAAAACGAATTTTGTGCATAAAATATAGACTCAAATAAATTTAGAGCCAGAAGGAGCTCAAGAGATGGTTTCATAGCCTTTCTCAGAGTTGTCCAAGAGTATTAGGCCATACAGAAAATGACAATTTCCTCAATTCCCAAGGATGGTACATAGCCAGTACCATTCAAGGTACATAAACAAGTCAATTCATGATACACAATGACTCAACAATACTAAACTTAGAGAACTGAAAATAATTTGAATCTATTTAAAATAGAATAATTAGTATTACTATGTACTAGAACTAAATAAAGTTTTTTTCTATGCCTCACTCAAGTATATATAACAGAAGGTTACAGTATTTGGTCCTATATTGCTTTACCATCATTGTGAGTTTTACTCATAGGATTCTGATAATTCCCTGTGATACTAAATTGTACAATATGGTCAACCTTTAATACTAACTGTTCCCTGCTGATATAATATCTAGTTTCAATTATTAATCAAGTAAAAGAATTAGTGTCTTCCATAATGTGAATGTATATCATTTCAAATGATCAGGATAAGGAGTGCTTTAGATTTCAGAGTTTTTCGGGAGGGAGGGGATTAGAATATTACATTATCTTACCAGCTGAGCATCCCTAATCCAAAAATCCAAAATCCAAATGCTCCAATGAGCATTTCCTTTGAGCACCATGTTACAGATTTTGGAGTTTTTCAGATTTTCAGAGTAGGAATAATAAATCTGTAATATCAGAAGTACACACAAATTTTTAAAATTTACAAGTAATTTTTAATTTTTAAAATTTACAAGTATCACATGGTCAATGGGTGTGACATACATCACTGAAATAACTAAAGACAAATTAGGCCTAGATAAAAATTCTACTATGGAAATTTATTTGGAGTTAAAAATTCTAGAGCCAGGTAAAGTGGTACACCTGTACCAGCTGTAGTCCCAGCTGTTTGGAAGGTTGACGTAAAAGGATCACTTGAGTCCAGGAATTCAGGTTCAGCCTGGGTAACGTAGTGAGATACCTGTCTGTTTTAAAAAAAAAAAAAAATCCTAGATCTAGGTTACTAACACTTCTGGTGACCTATTATACCTTAAAAACCTCATAACTGTCCCTATGCAGAAAAATACATCTAGCATTTTCTCAACTGCTATATTTTTGCCAGTAAGTCCACAAAATTGATGCTGAACTGACATCCCACAATAATTTAACACTCCACCAAAAAAAATCCCACCTACTACAATGACTTGCTCAAACAAGGCAAATGAATCAAATGAACTGATTCTAATTCTCAGTTTCAACAAAATCTGGAGATATTTCTTTCCACTCACCCTAAGTCTTAATGTTCCTTCTAAGTGTTCAATTATAAAAAATGAATAATCATGTTGCAACTAATAAGTTTTAAAACCAAAAAGTTTTGTGATACTAGGTAAAAGGGTAGGCTGAACACAGATATCATTTCTTCTAAAAAAATTATCTTTCAGGTATTTTATCTTTTTATTTCTTGACATTTCTCAACTGTACATTCATCTCTACTTAAATAAACTCTTAGGAGATTCAAAACAAAACAGAAGTGAATGTGGTCCTACACAGTAAAACAAAAATAAATAAATAAATCTAATGATAAGTTAAATATAATGTACAGCCTGAATTTGATGACTAAACATAGAAGTATCTCAAATACACATAAAAGAATAAAACTGCAAACAAAACAGGAAAAAAAAAAAAACCCAGAGGTGATATATTTATAGAGTTGTTAAAGGACTACTAGACATGAAAGTGATAAAAGTTGATATATCTATTTTTCTAAAAAGATAAAGTTTCTACAACTTAAAATAAGTGAGTGTTTTAAAAGCATATAACAAACAAGGATAATTTTTGACAAATGGTTGATCTCCTTTATATAAGGAGCTCTGAAAAATGAAATTAAAAGGCATAACCAATTTTCACCTACCAAAGTTGCTAAGATATTAGAAGTCACAGTACCCAGTATTGTTAAAGAGGCACTCTAGTAATGCTGGCGTGCAAGTAAACCAATATTACCATTCTAGGAAACAATCAGGAACTATTTATCAAAACTACAAAAAATGTACACATCAATTAATCAAGTCATTCTATTTCTAAGAATTTAGCCCAATGAAACAAAACAAAGTATTACAGTGAAAACATAAAAGAACCTTTATATCTCCCTAGGAAACTAGTCAAAAATATTAGGGTCAATTTATAAAATGAAATAATATAAAGTCATTAAAATCACACTGTAGAATGTTTATAGTGATAAGACATTTTTGACAAACTATAACTAAGGCAAAACATAAGCTACAAAAGATAATTTCATTTTAGGTTTTAGTTTTAAAAGGTATGTAAGACCAAAAATCAAATATGTAACTGTAGTTAACTTAGGATGATAAAGTTCTATGTAATTTTTGGCTTAAGTTTTTACATTTTATTGAGTTTCTCAAATTTTCTGCATGAGGCTGTTTTTTAACTTGAGAAGAAAAAGATTTCCTTAATTATCTGAAACGTTTTTAAATGCTTTTGGTCACAAAACCTTCAAAAGGTAAAAAGTATTCAATGACTGTCATCTGTTTTAGAAACAAAATAAAAATTCTGATGCTTATTTACTGCACCCTGAAAATTCAGTTTCATGCTATTTAAATATGATATATATATACAAATGTGTGTATATATATAGTATATATATCATATATAAATATATATATGCAAATGTGTGTGTGTATATATATTTGTTATTTAAATATAAGATATCATATATAGTCTCACATGCATAAGAGAATCAAGAATGTCTTTACATAAGTGTACATACATGAACATATACATCTATACTGAACATATTTCAGAAGTTAAGTTCCTACCTGAAAACACAGAATCAGATTCAGAGTATAGTAGAGAACTTAAAAAACGGTTCCCAGAATGTATAGTACATATACATTAAATGACAGCCATTACTTTTATGTTAGCTCCTACTTTTCTTAGAATTATACAGATAACTACCTCAGACTATACAGAGAGACTACAGACAAGAGACAAGTGTCTTTATTTTCTTTTACTTCCTTTGTCAGTTGTTTGTAGTTGAGAACGAGGTTAAATATTCATGCACAATAAGAAAATGTGCGTGAGAATCTTATTCTGCCAAAAAGAAGGAAAAGAAACAATGTAATATACTTCAGATTCAGAACTAAGGGAAAAAAGAAAAAAAATGCATCTAGATAGAGGTTAGCGTTAATGCTGTGATATTAGAAAACTTGCACTAAAGCTCTGGACTAATCCTCTCACACACTGGGATTTCCTCCTGTCACTACAGCAATAAAAAAGCTAACAAAAACATTAAATATCCAATAAGCAAGTTCCTACAGCATTCAACATTCTTGATTATTCTTGGTTTTTTACCCAGGCAACAGAATGCTTCTACTTTGGAAGAGCTGATTCTCTTAGTACTAAGGCTAATACATGCATCCAATTGACAGAATTTTTAAACAGCAGGGAGTATAATACTCTTTGTATATAAGAACAATCTGAACTCTAAAAATTCACAATTTTGATTCACCAAAAATAACTTTAGTTTAGCAAATGCAGGCCTCCCTAATTCCAAAAAATGCCCACCTGTATTTGAAAGAAAAATTTATATCCCAAACAAAAATGATTTGGCAAAACACAAATGACCTAGTTAAAGCTATTCACATATTATGACCAGCATATTGCTGATTAGTTTTCATTTAATTGTTGATTTGTTTTGTTTTTCATTTCAAATAACACATGATTCACATTTTCTCATCAATTCTTTGGAAACCACTATGTCCTCTGAACTTACAATGATGAAAATTTCACTTTAAAAAAAATATTATATTTAACAACTTACTCATGCTCATTGATATAAAGTTCTGCAAGTTCATGCCAAGCTTCTTGGTCTCCAACAAATCTGGTGAGAGGAAAGGGGAAAAAAAGGTAAGTGTGTAGATATTCTGTAAATGAACAGCATGGAGACAAACGAAAATCAAATGCAAATTCCATTTTAATTAAAAAAGATTTATCAGAATAACAAAACACAATCCTCTTGTAAAACACTCACTGTTCCAGATACTCATTCAGTTCCCGAATAGCCTCCACATTTTTCCCCTGGGCTTTTCGAATGGCAATCTTACGCTTTCTTGCAGCCTATGGGTTGACATTAATAAAGGATTAGGGCTTCATGATTTCTTGGGGTTTTTGTAAAGAAGGTAATTTGACTGTGCAAATTATTATCTCAATGCCAGCGAAATTCCATTGTAGTACTACTGCTTAGTGGGAGTTTATAAACATACCCCATGACATCCCACTGGGGAATTCAACATTCTCCTAACAATCACATATGCTTTACTTTTGATGCACACAATGTATGCATCGTTTCATCCAAATAAATAACCATCCAGATTCTGATAATTACAAGGCAGCAGGGAATCCTAATCTTTATCCAACTTAAAGTCCTTCACTCTGTCTTATTCATAAGATCTGTATATTAAGAGGTAGAAAGACAGTGGAGATTAGGGGGAAAAAATCTCACCAAGGACACTTGAATGACTTTATATAAATATGGCTTCTAACAACTTTTTCCACAACTTTAAGAGAAAACGCTGAGTCTTTCAAAAGAGTAATATAGGTCCAGAAAGAAATATTTTATAATAGAAAAAACATTTAAAACTTGTATTTTAAAGTTTTAAAAATGATAACTATAAAAATCAATGCCATTTATTTGTGCATTCATCAAAAATGTGTCAGACTTCTATTGTTTGCCAGGAACTGTGCTAGCTAATGAAAAATATAGATTAAAAAAATAGGTAATTCTTTGCAGGAGCTCAGTCTCATGACAAAGACACATCAAGTAAAATATATCATGCAGTAAGGACAATGATAGAGATATCCAGGATGGTGTGGTAACAAAAAGGAGATCCTAACACAGGCTGTGGCAGAGTAGAGAAAGTAGAAAGCTACAAGTTATGGGGTGGGAGGTGAGTGATTTAGCACCGAAAAAGTGAGTTTGGAGAAATTAAGAGACTCCCAATAAATAAGGGTAAGAGCAACATTTGTAATAATTGTGATAATATGTTGGTAATTAAAAAATGACACGTTTTAAGAATGTAAGAGGGAGGATCCAAAAAAACCTAGAATTTATTTATTAAAAATTGTGCATTCATTCTTACATATTTAAACTTTAGTCACCCTCAACATACTCTCCATTTGGCCTACTGAGATGTTTTTTCCACTGCTTAGTGTTTTAAATCATCAATATTGATGTCTTTTAGTGCTTCTGTCATTACTGGAAAACAAAAAAAAGTCACTCAGTGTGAGATCAGGTGAACAGAGAGGATGGGACATGAGGTGATGCCATTTTAGGTCAGAAACTGCTGAACACTCAGCATAGTGTGGGCAGGTAGGCTCGGAAGTCACACATCATGAAATGGGCAAACGCCTTGCTCCAAAAAATATTCACTGAAGCCGAGCATAGTCTCTCAGAACAATACTAGCTGGTACACCGAAGTTGATGGATTCCTAGAACAGTGACCTAGCAGGGGAAGCCTGAACTACAAGAAACCAGTCCTCCAAAAAAAATCATTCCTTTTTGTTGTTGTTTTTGGCTTTTCCATCACATATTTTTAATTATTTGGGTTATGCCAGAAGCCTAGCACAATGCCTGCCACAGAGTAGGCATACTCAAATATTTTTGAAATAAAGTTACTATACAAAACAAGAAAGCATCAAACATTATTTTCGAAATAATTTTACGATGCAAAACAAGAAAGTTTTTAAAAACTTTCAAGAAATTCAGAAGTAAAAGCACTGAAAATAACTTAAAGAAGAGTATTAGACTTTAAAATGAGAGCCTTACCCCTCGTCCTCCCCCAAATAGATTAGGGATAAATTAACAGACAATCACAAAATTGATTTCTTTTTGACATATAATATCTGATTTCATCAATCTAGCATCGTTTAACACATAATTTAATTTATTCCTTTCATTTCTTTCATGATTCTACTTGTTCCATAGGTATTATGGTATAGCAAAAAGAGTCTAGGTTTTGAAATCAAAAAGACAAAAAACGGAATCCCAACTCTTGTCACTATCAGCTTCCTTAACCTCTCCAAACCTCAGTACCATCTACCGTCAAGTATCAAAATAAAACAACTAGCACAGTATTTAGCAAATAGGTGTTATCTTTTTAAAATATCTGGTGTTATGTTTAACATTTATGTATTAAGTCTTGCCACAAAGCTCTAAGTCTTTAAAGGACTGGCACAGTCCTTTGATATTTATATCTTGCCCCAATCCATATTGTATTTGCAACAACTGAGATGAGATAGCACATAAATGCGTAAAAACTTATTGAAAATACTGGATACAAATGAGACAAAAAGTCAAAATATAAAAAATGGCAACTAACACATCATAGTAAGAAGTGTGGTATAAACACTGTAATGGACACTGTTATGCACAATGAGTCTTGTGAAAAATGTACTGAAAACACTTGACTGACTCGTTTTTCAACTATTAATATCTGACCATAGAACCAGTTCTCCACTGTTGAATACATACTAATAGTCAGCAGCATTCTGCATTGCTTTAAAATGTTTCAAAGATAATTAATCTTTTTAAAATGACTTTTAAAAGACAATCCTTTTTTAAATGATAGAAAATAGAGGTATAATCAACTTAAATTCATCAAAACAGACAGAAATTTGAAAATTCTGATTCCCATCCTTAGATTCTTCTGAGACTTCTTGAAAGAAACTGAAATATTACAATTTAAGTAATTCATTATTATTTTGAATCATGTAAATCTGGGATGGTTAGAATGTCATAACTTTATAAGAGCTATGAAAAACAGAAATTTAGTATTAACTCTGCAATAATCAATTTTAAAAGCTAACGTTTTGCCACCTAACAAAACCTCAGTGAGGTATAAGGAAAGATTTTAAATACAAGACTTTTTAATCAATTTAGGAAGCACACCTCCAAATCTCTACTATATAAGCAATGTATTTCTTGATCATGTAAAATCTAAGGTACACCATTTTATCTCTAAAAATACTAAAAAATTTAAAACAAACTTTTAGGTGGTAACTATTCAGCTATGCAAAGTCAGTCTTCCCAATGAAAATATATACAACAATTTTAAAAAAACCTACTAGGTAATCACTATCATTAGCAAAGGTATATTATTAGGCCATGTACTTTCACTAATATCAGCCCTTCACAGGCTATTTCTTTTAAGGAAAAATAATACTATTCTGGCATAAGAACTGACCTTTATTTATCACAATCGTGTTAAATTAGCGTCAAGCACTGAGCCAAAGTGAAGTAATGGGAACCAGATTTACTCCTCCTGCTTTAAGGTAAGGACATAGGGCAAAGAAGCTCAATGATCCCTGAGAGGTGGGGAAGCAAATCAGTGGAGCCCTGTTTTTATTGTCCTGGCTCACTGCCTTGAGAGTTTCAAATGTACCATGCAGGGAGGGAAAAATCAGGTGGAGCCCAGTGTACTCACTGAGTTCAGGAGAGGCAGCTAAGATTATAAAAGGCAATTCATAGGACAGAGTGCTATAGAAGACAGAAAAATATAGAATGAGGACTCTGGAACCCTGCAGAAGGTTCCTCTTGAGTACTCAGTTTTGTACTGAATAGTGCATACAGGTGAGGCAAGTACCCAAGTCAGGGAAAGAAGTTCCAGAAAATTAAACAGTGTCCAGTGCTCATACAGGGCTGGCAATAGTGATTTTTCTACTAGCCAGACTGAAAAATGTCATAATTCATGGGACACGGGATAGAGTACCCAGAAGGACATTGCTCAGTAATGGGGAATAATTAGTCCTCTTCCAAACACTGTTCTAACCAGGTTTAACAAAGACTCAAAAGGTTCAAAGTATCTGTAAGTAACTTAACTGTATCCTACAAGAAAGCTTAAGGATATCTGTAAGAATACAAAAATGGAAAGGGAAAAAAGGAAACTTTTGAGAACAATGGTTTTGTTCACTCTTTTGATTGTAGTGATGGTTTCATAGGTGCATACAAATGTCAACACATCAAATTGTATGCCTTAAATATGTCCTGTTTTTTTCTATGTCAATTATATGCTGAAACAGTGAAAAAAAAAAGTAAGTAGGCTAAATATTAAGTCATGAGTATTTATCATTGTGCACTTCTTTCTCATGCTTTTTGTCCTCTAAAATATACCAAAGTTCTAATTTTTTCTAAATATTTTGTTGGATTAATCTTTGCCAAGAGTCAAAGTCTTAAAAATGAAAACAATTCTGCATTTTATAAATGATTTTAATACGTGGAGTTAAAACTTCTATTATAAAATATGAAACTTCAAAAAGTTATTCATTACAATATAGGATGAAATATAAAAGAAAAGGCAGTTAAATTTTTGCCATCTGATTTTGTAAATAAACAGAAAACATACAATGTATCATATAAAATATACAACAATTATAATACAAAGATGCTGGTTCAAAAAGTTAAGATGAAAGTAGAAACAGTCATCTCAGCTTTTGCACATTCACACAGAACAGTACTGGAAACTGAAGGAAGTAGATGCTCAGTAGCCATCTGCATACATCACAAATTTTACACCTAGAAAGAACTTGAGGATTAGGCAGTGATAATTCATTTTACGTAGACCAAAAATAAAGCGTACACGTACACAACAAATCCTAGGGCTCCTGAATTTGTACACTTTTCTACCACATTCTCTTGCTCTCCAGACCCTATCTTGCTGCCCAATTCCTTATTCATATAATGTCTAACTTTAAATCATGAGTCAAGCAGCATACCTCCCAAAAGCCATACAAAACCCTGGGTGTCAAATAATTACCAAGCAACCAGAATAAGGGTCAAAAAAGGCTTCTCTTGACTTCTGAGTCTTATCCAGAACATAAAAAAAAGGCCTGTAAAAAAGAACAATTTCTATCACAACCTCCCTAGCATAATATTCCATAAAGTGAAAATCAAACTTAGAACTTAAAAAACAAAAACACATTATTAGGTTTCATATACTCTTTGACAACTACAAGTACAGTCTAGTTAAAATTACTGAATTTAAATAATACAATTCCTGTAGGGGGATAGCTAGTTGCCATGTATATTAACTACACAGTCACAATTCCATTTATTACCATTG